AGAGGGACGCCCTTGCTAAGTTCCAGCACAGAGAGACGCCCTTGCTAAGCTCCAGCAGAGAGGGACGCCCTTGCTAAGCTCCAGCAGAGAGGGACGCTTTTGCTGAGCTCCAGCAGAGAGGGACACCCTTGCTAAGCTCCAGCAGAGAGGGACGCCCTTGCTAAGCTCCAGCAGAGAGGGACCCCCTTGCCAAGCTCCAGCAGAGAGGGACCCCTTGCCAAGCTCCAGCAGAGAGGGACGCCCTTTCCAAGCTCCAGCAGAGGGACGCCCTTGCCAAGCTCCAGCAGAGAGGGACGCTCTTGCCAAGCCCCAGCAGAGGGACGCCCTTGCCAATCTCCAGCAGAGAGGACCGCCCTTGCCAAGCTCCAGCAGAGAGGGACGCCCTTGCTAAGCTCCAGCAGAGAGGGACGCCCTTGCTAAGCTCCAGCAGAGAGGGACGCCTTTGCTAAGCTCCAGCAGAGGGACGCCCTTGCTAAGTTCCAGCAGAGAGGGACGCCCTTGCTAAGTTCCAGCAGAGGGACACCCTTACTAAGCTCCAGCAGAGGGACGCCCTTGCTAAGTTCCAGCAGAGAGGGATGCCCTTGCTAAGTTCCAGCAGAGAGGGACGCCCTTGCTAAGTTCCAGCAGAGAGGGACGCCCTTGCTAAGCTCCAGCAGAGAGGGACGCCCTTGCTAAGCTCCAGCAGAGAGGGACGCCCTTGCTGAGCTCCAGCAGAGGGACGCCCTTGCTAAGCTCCAGCAGAGAGGGACGCCCTTGCTAAGCTCCAGCAGAGAGGGACCCCCTTGCCAAGCTCCAGCAGAGAGGGACCCCTTGCCAAGCTCCAGCAGAGAGGGACGCCCTTTCCAAGCACCAGCAGAGGGACGCCCTTGCCAAACTCCAGCAGAGAGGACCGCCCTTGCCAAGCTCCAGCAGAGAGGGACGCCCTTGCTAAGCTCCAGCAGAGAGAGACGCCCTTGCTAAGCTCCAGCAGAGAGGGACGCCCTTGCTAAGTTCCAGCAGAGAGGGACGCCCTTGCTAAGTTCCAGCAGAGAGGGACGCCCTTGCTAAGTTCCAGTAGAAAGGGACGCCCTTGCTAAGTTCCAGCAGAGAGGGACGCCCTTGCTAAGTTCCAGCAGAGAGACGCCCTTGCTAAGCTCCAGCAGAGAGGGACGCCCTTGCTAAGTTCCAGCAGAGGGGGACGCCCTTGCCAAGCTCCAGCAGAGGGGGACGCCCTTGCCAAGCTCCAGCAGAGGGGACGCCCTTGCCAAGCTCCAGCAGAGGGGGACGCCCTTGCCAAGCTCCAGCAGAGGGACGCCCTTGCCAAGCTCCAGCAGAGAGGGACGAAGTTGCCAAGCTCCAGCAGAGAGGGACGCCCTTGCTAAGCTCCAGCAGAGAGGACGCCCTTGCTGAGCTCCAGCAGAGAGGGACCCCCTTGCCAAGCTCCAGCAGAGAGGGACGCCCTTGCCAAGCTCCAGCAGAGGGACGCCCTTGCCAAGCTTCAGCAGAGAGGGACCCCTTGCCAAGCTCCAGCAGAGAGGGACGCCCTTTCCAAGCCCCAGCAGAGGGACGCCCTTGCCAAGCTCCAGCAGAGAGGGACGCTCTTGCCAAGCCCCAGCAGAGGGACGCCCTTGCTAAGCTCCAGCAGAGAGGACCGCCCTTGCCAAGCTCCAGCAGAGGGACGCCCTTGCCAAGCTCCAGCAGAGAGGACCGCTCTTGCCAAGCTCCAGCAGAGAGGGACGCCATTGCCAAGCCCCAGCAGAGAGGGACGCCCTTGCCAAGCCCCAGCATAGAGGGACGCGCTTGCCAAGCCCCAGCAGAGAGGGACGCTCTTGCCAAGCCCCAGCAGAGGGACGCCCTTGCCAAGCCCCAGCAGAGAGGGACGCCCACTCCAACCTGAGTCCAGTAACCGGCTTCCCACCAGAGACCGTTAAAGAATTTTCCGCAGAGCGGAAAAAAATGAAGCTGGCTAAATTAAGCTGATGACCAGGTGCCCCTCCTGTAGAGTGCCAGGTACCCCTCCTGTAGAGTGCCAGGTGCCCCTCCTGTAGAGTGCCAGGTGCCCCTCCTGTAGAGTGCCAGGTGCCCCTCCTGTAGAGTGCCAGGTGCCCCTCCTGTAGAGTGCCAGATGCCCCTCCTGTAGAGTGCCAGGTGCCCCTCCTGTAGAGTGCCAGGTGCCCCTCCTGTAGAGTGCCCGGCGGGCTAAATAGATGAGGACAAGCGTCCCAGTGAGAACGGGGGAAATTTGTCACTGATACTCAAGCGAGAGAGAGACGTCCACACCCGACGAAGGCTGACGCAGAAGTGCCTCGGATCATCAAGTCTTGACCAGCAGTATATTGCTTCATGTTATTGTATTATAGGTCCACTAGAACCTGGTACCGTAATGAACCCTTCCTGCCAGGTGTCCAACAATACGCTCCATATTTAATGAAATTAAGCAAGTATATAAGTAAGTAAGTAATTAAGCAAGTAAGTAAGTTAATTTACACACAGGTACACATAAGTTCAATTATCATACATAGTGTAAATTACCCAGGATAAGCCAAAAAATGTCAGGCAAAGTGACTTATTTCCACTGGGGTCATTGTGAAATATTACTTAATTCCTAGCATTATGTACCTGAGAGTTAGTAACCCAGGATAACCCACTAAGACTCATGATCATACATAGGCTTTAATCTTCTTTTTCGACTGGTAGATCACCCAGCTCACACACTGAGGTCCGTGGTTCGATCCTCGGTACGGCTGGAATTATTATTTAATCAAGGGTGGAAGCGCTAAACCCGGAGGATTATACAGCGCCTGGGGGGGATGTGGAAGGCATTCAGGCTTAATTTGGGGAACTGGAGCACAGATCCAATTCCCTAAATCAAGAGCCCGTCACCAACATCAAGGAACCTTCCTTGAGGGGGATACGGCTGGAAACATTAGGACGCGTTTCCATAAGACACCTGCTGTCACTGTTCACCTAACAGTAAACTAGGTACCTGGGCGTTAGTTGACTGGTGTGGGTCGCATCTTGGGGACAAACCTGACTTAATTTGCACGAAATGCTCTACATAACAAGGAACTTTCTATATAATATGTCATAAGTGTGAGCTATGGTCTGTATAAGTTGTATCATGTACTGGTAGAAATAAAAATTATTATTATCATTATTATTATAAGGTGGTTAAATAACAGACATTAATTTCTAAGGTGGTTAAATAACAGACATTAATTTCTAAGGTGGTGTTTATTGCACGGGTCACTAAGACAGTGTAGGGAGTCTCAGACACAATACTTTTATTAATGAAGGGCAGAAATGTAGCGACAACCTTATAAAGACAACGTTTCTCCCTGTGTAGAGCTTTATCCAGTCATGATCAGGCTCTAACTGCAGTATATAGAGGCCAGGAGCTGTGACTTGACCCCTGCAACCACAAATAGGTGAGTATCTCTCAGTGCACATGCTGATCTAAGTAAAAACAATAATTATAATCATTGCCATATTTTTAAAGGGGTGGAGAGGTAAGCCAGCGGAAGGTCTCGGTCAGATGACCAAAAGCTCCAGCTGTGGATCGTTATATGACTAAGACCAGCTTCAGGAAACACTTGTCCTGCTACCTGATTAATATTATACCTATCTACCATATGCTGTACTGTTCTCAAGAGTGTTAGAACACACTGACTCCAGACCGAGGGACTGATTACTTCAAACTTCTCGTCTTCCACCGTCCTTCTCTGTATTGGACTGAAGAAACCACTGGTTGGCAAAACGTTTCCTCTGTAAAGCCCTACACTGAGCAAAACGTTGTCCCAAATAAAACATGGTTTAATAACCTCTTTCTTGACCCCAGTATTGTTGTTATCACGTCATTCACAGCTATATTTTTGTGCACAGGACAGTACAAAAGTGTGCACACACAAGCACGCACAGGTACACATACGCACAGGTGCACGCAGGGACACACACACACACACACACACACACATACAGGTGCATACAGATACACACACAGGTGCACACAGGTACACACACACAGGTGCACATAGATACACACACCCAGGTGCACACAGATACACACACACAGGTGCACACAGGTGCACACAGATACATACACACAGGTGCACACAGGGACATGTCAACATAGTATTTAAGAATGGTTCTTCAACTCAATTCATTTGCAAGATTTAGTAAAATTTATAAAATACAGTAAGAAACCAGTATAATAAACATGACCACGAACACGAAGAAATAAAAATTTGGACCTCCCGGGCGCTTTCGTGAGCTGATCCACACATCTTCAGAGCGAGAAAATGTCGCTGAAGTTGACTATAGAAAGTATTTAAAATTTCCTGCACCAATATTTTCACATTGTGATATTTTTTTCGGAGATACGACACACAAAAAGAATATTTTTGTTAATCACAGTTCTGATATAACCCATTTCGACAGCTAAACCCTCAGGGTTTAAAATTAAACCTTATCACATTTTTCTAGTATCGTTCAATATGTCACGAAGTATCGTTCACGTGTCCACATCTGGAGTTTTTTTATCAGTATTGAAAAAAATTGGACAAAACTGCCCATTGAGATTATTTTAAGCACGAAATAAATATAGGTACGAATTCTCCATGCAAATATTACTGCATGAGGGACGCCACGAGGGACGCCATGAGGGACGCCATGAGGGACGCCACTTGTACTCTGATGCACAATAACCAGGACTCAGGTCCACCCTAACAATGTGAAGAGTGGCCAGAGGCGTCCTGTGTTACATATATATTATATCTGGTCTACCATACATATCTGTTGGCTATTTGGTCTTGTTCGGCCTCAGACCATTAACGTTATGACTCTCAAGTTGGTCTTGTGTTGGGAGTTTTATATTTAATCATGTCGAACCCATGATGTATTCTCTGTGTATATACACAGAGACGTATACATCTCTCAGTGTATATACAGAGAGTAATCTGTGATAACAGCTATCATCTTAGTGTATATACACAGAACTAACATTCTTAGTGTATATAAGAGACGTACACATCTCTCAGTGTATATACACAGAGAAGTGTAAATCTCTCAGTGTATATACACAGAGACGTATACATCTCTCAGTGTATATACACAGAGTGATTGATAATTTTAATCCATATTTCGGGTAATACAGTAGTCCTGACTGGTTGATGTACAGGTGATGTGTAGCCTTAATAAGCTTCGTGTAGTCGATAGGATTGAAACCTAGATACCGAGCTCCTTATAAGGCCACCAGAGACATGACCCTAGTCTGTCCACGGCTCATTCTCCCAAAATTTACAGAAGTTTCTTCCTGCAGACTTCTGGCTTCCATTCTAGCACATTCACCGTGATTCATCTTCTTGAGATCATCCCCTGGAGTTCATACATTGTACTCATCAGCTGTAGCTCACTTCAAGGAGCTCATCTGCTTCTGCTCATTCATTGCAGCTCAAAGCTGCTTCGTCAAGGCTGAGGGACTGATTTTCTCATTTTTACCTCTCTACTCCTGGTGTCTCCATCCAGTATTCACTCGCCTTTCTATCCATCCATTTAAGTTAGATAATGTATTTCATCAACTGTAGGTTATTCCTTCAAGTCACCCACTGTGACTCGCCTATATGTCAGTATCAAACACTGTTTTTGGGTCTTCTAATAACTATTGAGCACTAAAAACTTATTCCTGCAATCTGACCAGCCAGATTTTGATTAAGAAGATATATGTTAAGTGCCCAGCACTGTGTGTTGTGTAATCCCAAGAACTTATTTCTATTGGTATTCACAGCTGGGGTTTTGTAGTGCAGAGTTCAGCCATAAAGTGCATATCTTGTGTTTCTTGAAGCGGTTCTGGAAGAAATGTAACCAGCAGGACGAACTCTTGTGCTTGAAGATGAAGAGGACGAAGACACTGAAGAGGTTGATCTTATTATGGGAGAAACTGTTACGGAGGTTGACCTGGACGTTGAGGATCTGTACTTAGGAGGTGAAGGGCTTGTGGAGGGAGGTGGCGCTGCTGAAGACATGTTCCCGAAGGCTGTTCTGTAGTAGCGGAAGTTGGAGAACTCTTCACGTCCAGGATCTGCTGCCGGCGGCCGTATCCTCCTGCTGTTGGAGAAGAATGTTGACCCTCTACTGCTGGTATATCTTTCTCTGTTGCTGGTGTGACTTTCTCTGTTGTTGGTGTGACTGATATTGCTGCTACTCTCACTGGAGTCACCGAGATAATTTTTATTCTTAAGGGAGGTCGATGTAGAGTCTTGGTTCCTGGTAGCAGTTGAGTACATTGAAGGATGCTGTCTAGATCGACTGCTGGCCCCAAAACGTTGTTCATATGTGGTCTTAGTGGAGGCTGTTACACCTGAAGAGTCTCTTCGCCAGTCATAGTGAGCAAATGGGTCGTCAACTCCATCATACAGTTCATCAACCTCATCATCTCTTAATGTCTCTTGACGGATAGCTCTTGTTGATGACGATTCAATCCTGGAAGGATTCTGGAACCTGGAAAATCCTGAGGTATGGTCATGGTTGGATTTATGTGAAACAGAGCTGCTGATACTGACCACAGGTTTCCCCACCTTAAAAGCCGGAGGAAAACTGAGGAAGGGACGTGAAGTGGTGATCAGAGGCGCTGTGTTGGTAATAGTTGTTGTACTTGTAGTAGTCGGTTTAGGAGTCGTTGTGGTAGTAGTAGTAGTAGTAGTAGTGGTAGTAGTAGTAGTAGTAGTAGTCACAGGTGTTGTGAATGGAGTTGCCGTAGAACTAGTGGTACTACCATCTTGTGATTTACCCTGTCTACTCCTCGCTCGCTCGTACCGCTGTCTACCATCCTGGTCATAATAGTCTAACCCATAATCGGGTCTATTTCTTGACTGCGTGTCACTATACTCATCATACATGTACTCATAGTAAGAGAGCGGCTTCTCATACTCATACACAGCTTCAGTTGTAGTTTCAGCCTCCCTGAAGAGATCATTCTTGCTGTAGTATCTCGTTGATCTCTTACAGTCTATCTCCCACCAGTTCGTACAAATAAAATTCTGTTGATCAAACACCGTATTGTTGGGACACACGAACCGGAAGTCGCGGATCTGAAAAAAATACAATTGAATATTATAAATACTATTGACATCTGCAGTGAAATCAAGAATTATTATTATTATTATTAGTAAATACTTTTGTAACTTGTCATGATTGTGACCAGACTTACCTGGAGCTCATTACCTTTGTAAATTGTGAGTTCATTACCTTTGTAAATTGTGAGTTCATTACCTTTGTAAATTGTGAGTTCATTACCTTTGTAAATTATGAGTTCATTACCTTTGTAAATTGTGAGTTCATTACCTTGTAAATTGTGAGTTCATTACCTTTGTAATATGTGAGTTCATTACCTTTGTAAATTGTGAGTTCATTACCTTTGTAAATTGTGAGTTCATTACCTTTGTAAATTGTGAATTCATTACCTTTGTAAATTGTGAGTTCATTACCTTTGTAAATTGTGAGTTCATTACCTTTGTAAATTGTGAGTTCATTACCTTTGTAAATTGTGAGTTCATTACCTTTGTAAATTGTGAGTTCATTACCTTTGTAAATTGTGAGTTCATTACCTTTGTAAATTGTGAGTTCATTACCTTTGTAAATTGTGTGAGTTCATTACCTTTGTAAATTGTGAGTTCATTACCTTTGTAAATTGTGAGTTCATTACCTTTGTAAATTGTCAGTTCATTACCTCTGTAACATTGCTAGTCTATCGAAAACTTTGTGAGTCCAGTCCCTGACCAATTATGTACTCGTAATCATTTGACTACCGTCACAGGATTGGTCTGGGTGACTTACCTGCACATTGGAGGTCTCGGGGTGACTACCGCACCCAGAGGTCTGGGTTGATTACGCTCCTTGAACATGATGGGTCTGGTGACTATCCGCCTAAGGATTGGGAGGTGACTACCGTCACGTAATGGGTATGGGGTGACTTACCGTCCACAGGATGGGTAGGGGTGACTACCTGTCCACAGGATGGTCTGGGGTGACATACCTGTCAAGGATTGGGTCTGGGTTCGACTACCGTCCACAGGATTGGTAATTAGGGTTACTACCGCCCACAGGATGGTTGGGGTGACTTACCGCCCCAGATGGGTAATGGGGTGATACACCCACAGGTTGGTATGGGGTGACATTACCGTCCACAGATGGGTATGGATGACTCCGTCCACAGATGGGTCGGGGAGTACACCACCACAGGATTGGGTCTGGGGTGACTACGCCACAGTGTGGTCTGGGTGACTACCACCACAGGATGGTGGGTTGACTACCACCCACAGATGGGTAATGGTGCTACCGCCCACAAAGATGGGTTGGGGTGATCCGCCCACAGGTATGGTCGTCTGGGTTGACTACCGCCACAGGATGGGTTTGGGGTGACTACCGTCCCACAGGATGGGTCTGGGGTGACTACCGCCCACAGGATGGGTCTGGGGTGACTACCGCCCACAGGATGGGTATGGGGTGACTACCGCCCACAGGATGGGTCTGGGGTGACTACCGCCCACAGGATGGGTCTGGGGTGACTACCGCCCACAGGATGAGTCTGGGGTGACTACCGCCCACAGGATGGGTCTGGGGTGACTACCACCCACAGGATGGGTCTGGGGTGACTACCGTCCACAGGATGGGTCTGGGGTGACTACCGTCCACAGGATGGGTCTGGGGTGACTACCGTCCACAGGATGGGTCTGGGGTGACTACCGTCCACAGGATGGGTCTGGGGTGACTACCGCCCACAGGATGGGTCTGGGGTGACTACCGTCCACAGGATGGGTCTGGGGTGACTACCGTCCACAGGATGGGTCTGGGGTGACTACCGTCCACAGGATGGGTCTGGGGTGACTACCGCCCACAGGATGTTCTGGGGACTACCGCCACAGTGGTATGGGGTGACTACCGTCCACAGGATGGGTCTGGGGTGACTACCGTCCACAGGATGGGTCTGGGTGACTACCGCCACAGGATGGGTCTGGGGTGACTACCGCCCACAGGATGGGTCTGGGGTGACTACCGCCCACAGGATGTGTCTGGGGTGACTACCGCCCACAGGATGGGTATGGGGTGACTACCACCCACAGGATGGGTCTGGGGTGACTACCGTCCACAGGATGGGTATGGGTGTATACCGTCCCACAGGATGGGTATGGGGTGACTACCGTCCCGCAGGATGGGTATGGGGTGATACCACCCCAGGATGGGTATGGGGTGACTACCGTCCACAGGATGGGTATGGGGTGACTACCACCCACAGGATGGGTATGGGTGACTACCACCCACAGGATGGGTATGGGTGACTACCGCCCACAGGATGGGTATGGGGTGACTACCGCCCACAGGATGGGTATGGGTGACTACCACCCACAGGATGGGTATGGGTGACTACCACCCACAGGATGGGTATGGGTGACTACCCCCACAGGATGGGTATGGGGTGACTACCACCCACAGGATGGGTATGGGGTGACTACCACCCACAGGATGGGATATGGGTGACTACCACCCGCAGGATGGGTATGGGGTGACTACCCCCACAGGATGGGTATGGGGTGACTACCCCCACAGGATGGGTATGGGGTGACTACCCCCACAGGATGGGTATGGGTGACTACCACCCACAGGATGGGTTATGGGGTGACTACCACCCACAGGATGGGTATGGGGTGACTACCCCCACAGGATGGGTATGGGTGACTACACCCACAGGATGGGTATGGGTGACTACCACCCACAGGATGGGTATGGGTGACTACCGCCCACAGGATGGGTATGGGGTGACTACCCCCACAGGATGGGTATGGGTGACTACCACCAGGATGGGTATGGGTGACTACCACCCACAGGATGGGTATGGGTGACTACCGCCCACAGGATGGGTATGGGGAGTGGAACTACCACCCACAGGATGGGTATGTGGTGACTACCACCACAGGATGGGTATGGGTGACTACCGCCCAAGGATGGGTATGGGTGACTACCGCCCACAGGATGGGTATGGGGTGACTACCCTCCACAGGATGGGTATGGGGTGACTACCACCCACAGGATGGGTATGGGGTGACTACCACCACAGGATGGGTATGGGGTGACTACCGCCCACAGGATGGGTATGGGGTGACTACCACCCACAGGATGGGTATGGGGTGACTACCACCCACAGGATGGGTATGGGTGACTACCACCCACAGGATGGGTATGGGGTGACTACCACCCACAGGATGGGTATGTGGTGACTACCACCCACAGGATGGGTATGGGTGATACCGCCCACAGGATGGGTATGGGTGACTACCCCCACAGGATGGGTATGGGGTGACTACCCCCACAGGATGGGTATGTGGTGACTACCACCCACAGGATGGGTATGGGGTGACTACCGCCCATAGGATGGGTATGGGTGACTACCACCCACAGGATGGGTATGGGTGACTACCACTCACAGGATGGGTATGGGTGACTACCACCCACAGGATGGGTATGGGTGACTACCACCCACAGGATGGGTATGGGTGACTACCACCCACAGGATGGGTATGGGGTGACTACCACCCACAGGATGGGTATGGGTGACTACCACCCACAGGATGGGTATGGGTGACTACCACCCACAGGATGGGTATGGGTGACTACCACCCACAGGATGGGTATGGGTGACTAACCACCCACAGGATGGGTATGGGTGACTTACCACCACAGGATGGGTATGGGTTGACTACCACCCACAGGATGGGTATGGGTGACTACCGCCCACAGGATGGGTATGGGTGACTACCGCCCACAGGATGGGTATGGGGTACATAATAAACATATTAAATTAACTGTTGCTAAAGATATTTGATCATAAGAAGTGCAAAGGAAGGGTTTCCAATATTCTGGATCAAGATCTCTTCACTGGTAACAAAGTAACACTAAGAGAGAAACTGGAATAATGATACCAGTGTAATGATGATACCACTGTAAAAATGTCTATTTAATAATACCACTGTACATGTCTACCTGAGGGGTCCGCGGCCCCCACTTTGAGAATCACTGAACTAAAACATAACAAGGCGGCTGTTTGTACTCACAGTTGTACTCAAAGAACTGTACTCAAACAGTTGTAGGGGATGGGGTTGATATATAGCTCCAGGACCTGTCTATTGTGCTAGGTACTTACTAGACTTCTCGTCTCTAATACTGTCTGGAAAGTGAGTAGAATTTGTGGTTGCAGGGGTCGAGTCACAGCTCCTGGCCCCGCCTCTTCACTGGTCGCTACTGGGTCACTCTTCCTGCTCCATGAGCTTTATCATACCTCTTCTTAAAGCTATGTATGGATCCTGCCTCCACTATATCATTGGTGTGTGTGTGTGTGTGTGTGTGTGTGTGTGTGTGTGTGTGTGTGTGTGTGTGTGTGTGTGTTGTGTTGTGTGTGTGTGTGTATGTGTGTGTGTGTGTGTGTGGACTGTGTGTGTGTGTGTGTGAGTGTGTGTGTGTATGTGTGTGTGTGTGTTTAGGAAGTCATCAGGGGAGTGTGTTGTCGTAGCCAAAAGTGAATGTACCAAGTATGTTTGTCCAGGCTTCTGGACACAACACTAGTGACTGTACCAAGTATGTTTGTCCAGGCTTCTGGACACAACACTAGTGACTGTAGCAAGTATGTTTGTCCAGGCTTCTGGACACAACACTAGTGATTGTACCAAGTGTGTTTGTCCAAGCTTCTGGACACAACACTAGTGATTGTACCAAGTGTGTTTGTCCAGGCTTCTGGACACAACACTAGTGACTGTACCAAGAGATTAATGTGAGAGACTAAGGAGTGATAATGCCAGAGGATCTCACCTTCAAGGATCACAACAGTGTCACTATCACAACCACAGGAACAATGACTGAGTGAACAACTAGAACCTTCAAAACAAGAGAGTCTAAGCCGATTCCAAGAGAGGCAAAAGGAGGATTTAGTTAATCTTTACTTCCACGAGCACTTGTGTGGCTGGTTTAAAAACCTCGTGGCACGAGAGCTAAACTAAATCTCATTATCAGACGAAGCGTGGCTAATGTGATCCATTGGGCA